ATTATGATAATGTTTGTTTACATTTGTACAAGGGGATTAGACCCAAAGATAAATGGAAGAAGGCCTAGGGCCTAAGGTACAAAGCTAGGAAACCCAGGGGTCAAGTCCTAAGATCTGGAAACCCAGGACCCGAAGGCCAGACTAGCAGGAGAGTCCTGAAGAGAGGGCCCCTTTTTCTAAGGGGAGAGTAGTCTTCTTTTATAGGTGAAGTGGATTCTCCATCTCTTGTAATTTTCCGATATGGGACTCCTAGTTGCTCGATTAGTCACGGTACCAACATAAAAGTTACATCAAGCACAAATGTTCTAAGTACACTAGTACAGTTTCCTCATCTAGTTTCACTTCCTGCTAACTAATGTCAGCTATTAATACAGCAAACCCACTTAAAGCACAAAAGCTAAAGTACACTAGTAGCCACATCACTTCCTGCAAACTAATGTCAGGTTACCAACCAAGCAATGAGGGGTTGTGGAAATCTGCATTCGTTAGTGTAGAAAACTCATCCGGTATGGTACTTGAAACAGAAGTGTCAATAACAGTGCTTACACCACTACCAACATCCGAATGTTTGGACAACCATAAATCCCACTTTGATTGTTGCTCTCATCTGACAAATCTCTCAGACTGCTTGAGTTAGAAATGCAATTAAGGCTATCTGGATCTCGATGGGATGAAGTGAGCTGATCCACGTGGGGTAAGAGCCTACAATTATTCAGGCTATTATCCCACATTTCCTGACCAATTGAAGTTAGGGAGGAATTATTTGCTTCAGTTAAAACAGCTGAAGAATCTTGCAAACCCAACACAAACAAAGGCCCCGGTGATCTAAGTGTCCCAACAAAGGGTTGACTAAACCCTATGCATTCATCATTGTCTAGGAATGGAAGCGAGCCATTTGTGCTATTGAAATCTGAATGAGGCATATCAGTTTGTTGGGAGTGGTAGAGTAATGATTCCAAAGGCGGCTGCGTAGGCCGTGGGCTAGTTTGTAGTTGCGCTGCACTTTGGTTTTGGTTGGCAAATGTCAGCTGGTTCACAAGGTTATAGGGACTAACATACCCTGCAGCTAATTTATCTTCAATTCCCTGTCCTGTAGAATTCAACTGGCTTAATTGATCCACGGAAAAATCAGTACCTAATTTTGTCTTGTCAGTACTATTTCCAACTGGTGATTGACTTCCAAACTTTGTTAGGCTGTTCAACTTTCCTGGTAGAATTGCATGAGATGTGTTCAAGTTTATTGCAGCAGATTGATCCATAGATGATTGGGGAGGGTTTGATTCGGTAGAGATATACCTTCTGAAAAGACACCCGGATTCTTTTGGTTGAGTTTGGCCTGCATGGTCTTCATATCTGCTATTAAATCTCCATTAGCAGCCGATTGCTGTTGTAGAGCAGCTAAAGTTCCAGCATG